TGGTGCAGAGGGCCCTGGGTTCCTCCTGGTGCAGAGGGCCCTGGGTTCCTCTTGGTGCAGAGGGCCCTGGGTTCCTCCTGTGAGACAGTATGTATCCGTACACACACTGAGTCACATGATGAGTTGATGTGATAAAATTGACACACGTTGGATCAGCCTGTGATTTACATGTTTGACTTTCAGTGTGATTTTGAATCCAGCCCTCAGTGTGTCGATGGTTTTGGTTTCAACTGACTGTTGTCATGTTGTTTTTAAAATAATATTTTTAAATGAATAATTGGAAACCTGACACATTTTTGGAACTGCATCACTCTGTGATTTCAGCATCTGTGAATAAAAACAAATCTTTGTAAAAAAAAAAAGAAAATTGACCCTCATCACACAGATGTTGCAGCGTAGTGGATGATCGCAGGTTTACGATGCAAACGTTCTGATGTTAAATTTTTGTCTCTGTGACCTTCAAACGACCCGTGTGTGCCAACCTGCCCCGCTCTCCCCAAACTGTGGTCACTCTCCTGTGTACCAGCACTGTGACGTCGGGTCAACTCTGAGTTTAAATGTTGATTTATAAAAGTAAAGAAAAACTTCCAGATTTCTAAGACTAAACTGATAAATATACAAAACATAAACAGATGTTTGTTTGTTGTGTCTCAGTAACACAAGTCAGCCTTCTGTATGTGTGGGGCATTAACACGACAGCAGCACTGACTCTGAGGATCTACCTGTTTCTGTAACACACACAACACGTCACGTGTCTTCATGGTGACGACAAATTGTTCCTGATAAACATCATAATAATTAACACTTAATATTTCCATAATGTTGAAGAACAATAAGATCTTTTGTTTCCTGCTTTTTGTTGTGAAATCAAAAACTTTATCAGGATTGTTGCTAACGGTGCCAACAGAAACGCTGTCAGGACATTTGGTGGTTTGATATGTTCAGTCTGGGCGTCTCTGTGACCTCGAGGGTTTGGGACACTGACTTTGTATTTAACTTTTCACAATCTGCTGTTTGACACTTGTTCAGAGATGTTTTTACACATGACGTGTTAAATAAAGGAAAGAGGAAGGATAGAAAGACGAAAATATGGTGGAGGATTTTGCAAATGTGTGAGACACAGAGCAGCAGCAGGAAAAGGAGGAAGTAGGTGAATAAAAAACAGGAGAAAGGAAGTCAGCAAGAAATATGAGGATACACAGAAGAAGGAAGAACAGATGAGGAAACAAAGGTAGAGGAGGAGGAAGAGGAGGAGACAGATCAAAGTGTTTGAGTGCAGAACAGAAAAAAATATCCCAAACATTTTGGTGTTTTTTTCAGAAACATTTTCCTCTTTTTATTCCAAGAAAAAAAGGTCTTTTCATCCCAAACGATAAAATAAAATAAAACAAACTTATATTATTAATAATAACAACAATAATCAATCATTAAGAGGATAAGTATGACAATTTTTTATCTCCTTTTTTTAATTTGTCGCTTTTTTCTCTATGATGATATTGGTCGTGGTCGATTAAACATGCAGCTAAATAAGTCCGATGATGATGATGATGATGGAGGTGGTGATGGTGGAGAGGAGGAGGAAGAGGAGGAGGAAGAGGAAGACAACAAGGAGAGAGACAGAGGAGGTGAAGTCAGTGCTGGCTGTGGATTTCCCAGATGATGATGATGACGATGGTGATGAAGGAGAGGAGCTGCGCAGCTTGAAGAACAAAATAAGACTTCAGGTGATAGCTTGCTCGCTAACGAGCATGCTAACGTAGCCTCTGATTAGCATTCCTCATTGAAAACAATGGTCTGTTAGCCGCAGAGCTAATGTCTGCTGACACCAGAACAAAATCCCAAATGACGTATGTGAATTTCAAAATAAAGTTTAAATCACAACTGATCCCAAATCAGCGTTAAGACTGAGCTCCATCTGAGGGGGGGGGGGGCAGGAAGGAAAGGAGGGAAGGAAGGAAAGGAGAGGAGACGAGTGATGAGCAGATGAGTTGAAACGCCTGCAGAAAAGAACGAGTGTGCATCTCTTTGATGTTTTATTTTTTTCCCTGGTCGATCTCCTTCTGTGGGTCAGAGGTGAGGAGGAGGAGGAGGAGGAGGAGACGGGGGCAGGATGATGGTGGAGGCGAGGAGGGGAGGTCAAAGGTCATCGTTGTGTGTGCGTGTGTGCATGTGTGTGTGGGCCGGCTATCAGCTGCTGTCAGGTGACGGCTCTCTCTCTCGGTGCATAGCGGCGGCGCTCTGGTGTTTCATGCTGTCCAGGTACTCCTGCTGAGAGACGGCCAGCACCGACGCCAGAATCTCATCGTCCTCCCAGTCCGTCAGACCTGACACACACACACACACACACACACACACACGATCAATATATAAGTAAGGTTGAATATAATAACTATGATCAGGTTATTGTTTGGACTCTGAGCTGACTGAGACGCAGTGAGGACGGACGGCGGCGTGTTCATCAGAAACACTTCCTGATGATGAGTGAAGAAAACACGACGACGGAGCAGAAACAAACAGAAACTTCTTACTGAGTCAAAAACTTTCTGTTCTCTGATAAAAAAAATACTTCAGTGTTCACAGCTGTGCTGAAAACATCTGATAACATCTGTTTTCACAGAGCAACACCGGCTTCACCTTAGATACCCCCCACCCAAACACACACACACACACACACACACACACACACACACACACACACACACACCCTGCAGCTTCCTGCTGACTGTAAACAGCAGCAGTGTCAATATAACAAAGTAAAAATACTCTCTTACAGTACTCAAGTATTTTCTGGGAGTTTTTGAACATAACTTGAGTTTTATTTTTCTGTCAACTTTAACTTTTACTCCAGGATCTGTGTGTTTCTAATGTCCTACAAAATTAGTGACAGCTTACATCACAGCCTATTGTTTTAATTCTCTTTTTACTGAGGCAGATGACTCAGTTTCTATCAGACACGTTTTTAATCTTATTTTTATTTGTTTTGTTCAGTTGTTGTTCAAAAGTAGCCGTTAGCAGCTAACTCAAAGAAGAAGAACAGCAGCTGTTAGCAGTTAGCAGCTAACTCAAAGAAGAAGAACAGCAGCTGTTAGCAGTTAGCAGCTAACTCAAAGAAGGACAGCAGCTGTTAGCAGTTAGCAGCTAACTCAAACAATGAGGTCCAGGAGCTCCTTACCCTCTGAGCAGAGGACGAGATCAGCCGCCATATAACAGGGACGCTAAATGATTGTTATTGACATGTGATGTCATTGTTATTGTTTATAAAGAGCTGCTGACACGTATGTTATATGTCACACTAGAGGCCGACGCTGTTGTGTTACATGTCACGCCTCTTTTGACTCTGTGATGTCATCATGCTGTCTGACATCACACACTGGAGCCACATGATGCCGCCGTCGTTTACTTTTGTGTAAAAATGCAAAGGCGGTGTAAAGACAGGACGTAGTAGCGTCGAGGTAGTAGTGAAGAGGGTTAAAGAAACCAGATGCAACCACGGCGGGAAAAACATTTTGGTGGACACACGGGCTACATACACAACACAGATGTTAAAGAGCGGCAGACGCAGCAGGAAATACTTCCTTTCTAAAGTACCTGAGCTGCAGGTGTAGCTGTACTTGGAGTTATAATTAGTATCTTACCAAATGCTGTAGGTGACATCTCCTGCATGATGGCTCTGTACTCCAAATGATGACGACTCTGATTACTGGGACCTACACACACGCACGCACGCACGCACGCACGCACGCACGCACACACACACACACACACACACACACACACACACACACACACACACACACAGGTTAAAGTCAGGTGTTCCTCAGTGCCACAGACTTCAGCTCCACATGCAGTACTGTCAGAGTATTTTTACAGTTAGGGGGGTAAGTGTGTGTGCTGTGTTCATGAGGCTCCTCACAAATGTGTTTTTGTGTGTGTGTGTGTGTGTGTGTGTGTGTGTGTGTTACCTGGTGCGCAGGGGGAGGGAGGTTTGCTCAGGATGAGGGCGGCTCCAGCGGGGGAGGGGGGCTTGTTGTTGGTCGACGGGGCGGTCGTGAGGTCGGAGTGGGAGTGGGAGGGGTCGGAGTCCCGTTGCCGTGGCGACCGGGCGCTCCAGTCGTCCAGTCCGCTGGAGGCAGCCGCCGTCGCCGAGCTGCAGGTGGCGCTCGCCTTACGGGGCTGACGGAGAAAAGATGTTTATGGTTAATACACAGACTGCACAGCAGCGAGCTGTTGGTGCTTCCTTCATGGTGTTTGTTCCTCCTCCACTGTGACTCAACGACTGAAGTGACCGACGCAAGCTGAACAAACCAGCGTTTGTAGCGCAGCCTAACTTTGCAGCACTCCCATTGCAAAACAATGAAAAAGGAAACGGTGGTGCAGTGGACGCGTCCCTGAATCTGCTGCAGCTCATCAGCTCTGTAGTCTGAAGTCAGTGGTTCATGACACCAGGTGTTTGTGTGGTGGCTCCTTCAACAAGCTGATTGGGCGACTTTAAACAGTTGTAACAGGTGAACATGATGCTGATGTCATCATTTCTGCTACATGCAGGGGTCTCCTCTGATAAAACATTCATAACCAAACAAATCTAAGATCAGCTGATCTCAACGAGCTGAACACTGGTCCTGTTGACTGAAACCTTTTCACACAGATCCTTAAACTGTTACGCCGGATTTCCACTGGATGCGTGTCCGTTGCAGAACGGCAGCGCTGGTTATCCGCTGCGTGCTCCGCCGTCCGTCAATACCCACCGGCTGCGTTAGCTGTGCGGAGCGGTGCAGCTCCGCAGGAAGACATCTCGGTGCACTGCCATGATTAAAATCTCCTCGTCCATGGTGTTCACGGGGTGAAATGACGTCTGAAAACCTCTGACCTGTTGACTTCAGGCCTGCCTCCGCCCATTATGTAGTTTTTAAGGTGTAGTGCAGGGAAATATGATCCGCCGTGAACACTATGTACTTTATTTTGAAAATTAACAGCATGTTTTATTGTGTTTCTGTGCACGATTTCCTGCCCCGCATGATCTGCTCTGTGCTGAATTGCTGCGTTTTGCTCCAGCGTCCGGCAAAAATAGAAGTCCTGCGTATCTGTTGCGGAGGGCTCCGGAGCACCGGAGCTGAGACGGAGCCGGAACGCAGCACAGCCGCAGCCGGTGGAAACACACACATTGACTAGAATGGAATCCTATCGGCTCCGCTGCCGTGCCGGAGCGCAGACGCAACCAACACGCATCTGGTGGAAATTGGCCTTTAGAAGTTTTAAAGTCTGACTGAAATGAAGTGATCACGCACTCAACACCACGTTCAGCTGACTGGTCACAGGAGGAAACCAGTCAAACCAGTTTTATGACACCCCCCCCCTCACCTGTCTGGCCTGTTTCTCCTGGTCCTGCAGCCACTGCAGGTATGACTCTCGGGCCACCTGCTCCTCGATGGCCTCGTTGGTCGCCTCCCAGTCCGTCGCTCTCTTCTTGTCCTCCAACATCTGCTGCTCGATCCACGACTCCTCCGACGTCTTGATGGCCGACTTCATCAGAGACTGCTCTGCGTACTGGGGGAGAGGAGAGAGGGCGGGGTTATGGAAAAGGCACTGCTCTAAATTTCCCATGATGCTTAGGAGGATGTGAACAAGAGAAATAACTTGAGCCCTGATGTTTTCAGTCTGTAGCGTCCGTGTGGTCACAGTGTGACAGCTGACTGATGTGTGAGCAGCTCCTGATTGGACGATCAGACGATCACTATGAAATGAAAACATGATGATCCTCAGGAGTCTCTGCAGCCTCTGTCCTCTGGGATTTAAAGTGGATTTATGGACGTTTATTCTGGATGACCAACATGTGTTTCATGTCTGTGTGTTCACATTTTACTGAGTCAAGAAGAAAAAGAAGAGGAAGAGGAGGAGGAGGAGGAGTTTTCATGGTTTAAGAATTTTCAGTTTTGCTCCAATCAGCAGCAGAACTACAATATCTCCCTTTCACCACTCTTAGTATTTACACTTCCTGTTCAAGCCAGGAATATCACGCCATTCTGTATAAAAGGTATGGCCGTGAAATGGGAGGACAGAGTTGTCTCACCTATAAGTCTGCATCAGAGGTAGGAACAGCACCGAAACGACTGTATAAACGGGACAGCCAGCAGGACGGGATCATGGACGGGACAGGTGTGATGTATTAGGTCCGTTTCCACTGAAGAAGTTCCTGGTACTATTTGGGGGGCAGGAACTACTACAGAAACGTCCTCTCATTCGGCCCTCTCAACCGCCGTGTCTCCACTGAGAGAGCGGAGTACGAGGAAGGTTCCTGTAAAGTTACGGGCTGCCTCTGGATGTGACGTAATCGTTGCGCGACCATTTTGACCGGGGCGACGTAGGGACGTTGTTAGCTGTTAGCCGATAGCGGTGTCTGTAATAACTCAGTAAATGGCCCGTGAAAAAAATATTTTTTCCAGCGAATGTCTTAGTTACAACATGATTGAGCTAACTGGAGTAGTTTCATGTCGTATCCGACAATGGGAGGCTTTTAACAGATGCTGTTGTTAGCTGTCCCTGTCAGCTGCAGCCACTACTGATGCTTTCTAGACATCGTGATTTCCCATAACTGAATAAATACTACACATAGCAACACAAAACTGCTTTGCTAGCTCAATCATGTTGTAACTAAGATATCCACTGGAAAAAATATTTTTTTCACGGGCCATTTAGTGAGTTTTTTTTACATGGCGGCGAAAGCTATATGAACGAGCTAACCCTCGTCTGCTGAGTTTTAAAAATGCCGGCTATTTTGTAGCTTTCTGTTGTCGTCACATCCCTCCTTGAGTATATCCAATCAGCACCAAGTAATCCCCAAGCCCCAGCCGGGGAGTCTTTTAGGGGCCGTTCTGAGTACCTACCCCGAGGCAGGGACTTGTTTAGCCCCTGTAAAAGTTCCGGAACTCTGTCCTTAGGGGGTGGTTCCTGCGGTGGAGACACGCACCAACAGCCCCGGCCCCGTAAAATTACCCCGAAGTTCCTGCAGTGGAAACGGGCCTATTGACAACGTGTGTGTGACCCACCGATGGGAGATTTAAAAAGCAGCTGTTAGCAGTTAGCAGCTAACTCAAACAATGAGGTCCAGGAGCTCCTTACCCTCCGAGCAGAGGACGAGATCAGCCGCCATATAACAGGGACGCTAAATGATTGTTATTGACATGTGATGTCATTGTTATTGTTTATTAAGAGCTGCTGACACGTATGTTATATGTCACACTAGAGGCCAACGCTGTTGTGTTACATGTCACGCCTCTTTTGATTCTGTGATATCATCATGCTGTCTGACATCACACACTGGAGCCGCATGATGCCACCGTCGTTTGGTTCTGTGTAAAAATGCAAAGGCGTGTAAAGACAGGACTTCGTAGCAGCTCTACAGAGACAGACTGCAACTTTTCATACTCTGGAAACCACACCCACCGGAGGGGAAAAGTGTCAGTGTCACATTATGTGTCCAAGAGCTGAAACTCGAACACAAGGACGCCCTCTAAAAGCATTCGATACCCCCCGTGGTCATAGAGCGTGTGGTTGAGGTACCCCTGGTTTGAAGGCAGGCAGTCCCAGTCCGACCCCGATCGTGGCCTTGTTTGGGTTCACCACAGAGTTGTAGTGGATGTTGCGGTGGTAGCTCACTCTGATCGGCTCGTCATTGTTCTGGTGGATGCCGTGGAACGTGTTGATTGGCTCTGCAGGAGGAAGAGGAGGAGGAGGAGGGTTCAGGCTGGTGGGATGTGATTGGCTGACAGATGTAAGGCTCGTTATTGGACGGACAGACTCACCTGTGCTGTACTGGTACACCTCCACCGGTCTGTTGTACATCTCGGCCATCGCCTGCATCTCGATGTGGTTGCCGTGGCAATTGTTTTTCCTCTTCCTGTTGATGTATGTGGTGAAGTCCTCCGTCACGTAATTGGAGAAATAGTCGGCGTTCTTCATCTGGAGGGAAACAAAAAACTTTACAGACACTGACGGAAGGACGAGATGTTTAAATGCAGGAGGCTGCAGCAGAATTCAGAGCCACTCACCAGGTAGTCCATACAGTGTTTCCTGACCACTTCATGCATGTCCTGGTCTCCGTACACCTGATCAGCTGACAGACAGACAGACAGATACAATTCAAGTCAGGTTACAAGGAAAACTAAAACACCTTCATTCTCTGTGTAACAGAAGAAGAAGAAGCCGGTAACAACATGGAGAAATCTACATCCAGAGCCGTGACTTTTTGGACGGACCAAATGCACAGAGCTGTAAAGTTGTCCACCATGGTAGCAGTTAGCTGCTAGCTAACCGTAGCTAACTTGTTTGTCCATTGTTTGGTCTGTGACGTAATAGGTCAACAGGAAAAAGGTCCAATACTAACAAGCTGAAAGGGGGCATATCTCCACCTATAATAAATGGATTCCCCTCCCGTGCTTGTATACTGGGACAAGGACAGTAGGCCAGTTAGATGTCCTCGTCCAGCTGGGACTGTAGCTCCACTTCACTGTTACCATGGAAATGGACTGACTGAGAGACGAGCAGGGACAAGGTCTCAAATTAACACCAGCCAAGCATCAAATGTGGGTAAATTTTCCATTTGGAGAGAAATCCCAAAAGGCTATTCACCACACCGGCGGGTAAATGTCTGAACCAAAATAGCCATGTAATAAAAAAACTACACTGAAGGTCTCTTCTACGTTTTGGTGTCATTTAGGAGCGCACTGCTCTGTGCACATCTAAACAGTCATATCTTAGAGAGCTCATAGTGCCATATTATCCCACCAGAACACTGCGCTCTGAGAACGCAGGGTTACTCGTGGTCCCTAAAGTCTCCAAAAGTAGATCAGGAGCCAGAGCCTTCAGCTATCAGGCTCCTCTCCTGTGGAATCATCTTCCTGTTACGGTCCGGGAGGCAGACACCGTCTCCACATTTAAGACTAGACTTAAGACTTTCCTCTTTGATAAAGCTTATAGTTAGGGCTGGCTCAGGCTTGCCCTGTACCAGCCCCTAGTTAGGCTGACTTAGGCCTAGTCTGCCGGAGGACCCCCTATAATACACCGGGCTCCCTCTCTCTCTCTCTCTCTCTCTCTCTCTCTCTCTCTCTCCTTTGCTAACACTCATATCCTGTTACTACATGTCACTAACTGGACTGAGGTTTTTTTGGGGAGTTTTTCCTGATCAGCTGTGAGGGTCTTAAGGACAGAGGGATGTCGTATGCTGTAAAGCCCTGTGAGGCAAATTGTGATTTGTAAAATGTTGATACTGTGGTGATGTGCCACAAATAAATGAGTGTGTGGGAAACTCCTGATAATAAAAATAATAAAAATAATAATAATAATGTGCTGTGTTTAAATCGAACTGGAACTTGTTACTGTGAGTCAGGCAGAAGACACGATCTGATCTCCAAGGATTAATTCACACCTACATACACACACACACACACACACCTACACACACACACACACACACACACACACAGGGTGATATGTTGGGAGATTCCCTCTCTGTGTTTCTGACCTGTCACTGCTGTTCAACCATGTTCATTAGTTTTGTTATGAGTGTGTGTTCTGCTTTCTTTGTGTGTGTGTGTGTGTGTGTGTGTGTGTGTGTGTATGTGGTCGATCAGCTTCAACAACATCACCGCTAACTGACTTCACACACACACACCGCTGATGAGAAAAAGGAAGTTGTCGGGGAGGTTCTGAGAATCGCCGTGGTGACGGACCATGTGACTTGCTGGAAATCAGACCAAAGTGATGCTCATTTGCATACCGCTGCCTGCAACAGGAAGTGTGTGTGTGTGTGTGTGTGTGTGTGTGTGTGTGTGTGTGTCCTGGTTCATGCAGTTCATTGTGTTTGACAGGCAGAGGTCATGTGATCTGCGGTGCGTTCATGAGGAAAAAAGTTTTTATCAAATTATCTGAGCAAGAAAAGATTTAAATGTTTTATTGAAGAATTTTTAGCTGCTGCTGAACTTTAAACGTTACTGTGTTGTTGTTGTGTTGTTGTGTTGTTGTTGCATTGTTGCAGCTTTTCTCTCCAAATACTGAATCTGACACTTCAGCTCAAACTGTACCAGACTGCACTGTGAAGGTTCGTGTACCAGTGATGAACCGTCCTGACCCGAGGTCACTGTACGCCGCAACATGGAGAACACACTGATGTAGACTGATGCACATAATGTGGAACCAAAGTTCAAGCACAAGTTCCACACAGAAACTTTAGGCCGTGCACTGCTGGCAACATGCTGAGGTCAGTCTCACTATGGAGAGGAAACAAGGAGAGGAGATGAGACAAGGAGAGGAAAGGAAATAAGAGAGGAAACAAGGAGAGAGAAAAAGGAGAGGAAAGGAAAAAAGAGAGAAAACGAGAAGAGGAGAAGAAATAAGGAGAGGACATGAGAAACAAGGAGAGGAAAGGATACGAGAGAGGAAACAAAGAGAAAAGAAGAAATGCGAAGAGCAAACATGGAGAAGCAACAAGAGAAGGAACAAGGAGAGAAAAGGAAACAGGAGAGGAAACAAGTAGAGGAAACAAGAAGAGGAGTGGGGACAAGAGAGTAAACAGTGCAGAGGAAACAAGGAGAGGAGACAAGAGAGGAAATGGTGCAGACATTAAAGGACACAAGGAGAGACTAGAATCACAGATGTTTGTGCCAAATTTGAAGAACGTCCCTGGAGGCGTTCTGACAATATCGAGTTTACAAGGATGGAACGGACCGACGGACGTACAACCTGAAAACATAAAGCCTCCGGCCTCGGCTACTGCTGGTGTGGAGGCATAAAAACAAGTAGAGGAAACAAGGAGAGGAGAGGAAAGAAGGAGAAGAAAGAATACAAGAGAGGAAGTAAAGAAAGACAAAGGAATGAGATGAGGAAGCAAGGAGATAAAAGAAAATGAGAGGAAACAAGAAGAGGAAACAAGGAGAGGAGAGGATACAAAGAGAAGAGAAATACAGTCAGGTCCATAATTCATAAACAATGAATACCTGCTTAAAGTGCAGACTCTCAGCTTTCATTTAAGGCTTTTTTCAAAAATGTAGTATGAACCATGTAGGAATTACAACCATTTCTTCACACAGTCCCCCAACTTTAAGGGCTCATAAGTATTTGGACAAACTAACATAATCATCAATTAAACAGTCAGTTTTAATACTTGGTTGCAAATCCTTTACAGTCAATGA